TAATTGTCAAGATTTAATTGTATTTATGCCTAAAATTCTGTTACCTAAAAAGTGGACTCCATCCATTTTATGTCCCCATGATTTCCGCCATTTACATCAAGAAAAAAATAAAAAAACTTTGTCTTCATTGAGATGGAATGAAAATCAGTTGGTTCCATAAAAAAAATCAACCGTTTCCTTAATTGGAGCAGCTTGTACGTTTTTTAATCGAGACAAATTAAAACTTATATTGTAATTCACGCAGCCGTCAGGTGGTATATGTTGTGTATATGTTAGCATATATTCAGTATATGTTGCAACAAAAAACAATATAACAGGTTACTTATATTCTTTATACAAAAAAAAGTCTTCTAATATACTGAACATATACTCCCTATACACACCACATATACTACATGTTTATACACGCAACGTATCTATCATTATATAAAAAGAATAACCTTTTTATAAATTTAGAAACTTTTTTCCGCCATAATCATTAAATATATCTTAAATATAGTAATTGTTTTGACAATTGTGAATAGGCATAAAAATCGGTTCTTTAATTGCATTGTTTCCTTAATTCTAGCTTGCAGCAATAAATCCGCTTGCAACAAATTGCATTGTTTCCTTAATTCTAGCTTGCATCAATAAATCCGCTTGCAACAATAAAGTTGATAGCCGTTTGGTTTAAACTTTCTGTTCAAAATAATTAAATTCGTTTGTTTCCTTAATTCACGCATCTCATTGCTAACAATACATCCTCGATAACAACGTAAAAAGTATAATAATAATTTTGAAATGGTAATCAAACTCTTTTAGATGCAAGTAACGTCATAAATTCGTTTTATTAAATTAGGCTTATAATATTTTAGAAATTTTAAACCAATTTTTTAGACATTTTTTTTTTACATATTCGTCTATTCAAATATTTGTAGACATATTTTCTTTACAAAATAGCATAGCATTATTTTTTTTACACTGTTAAATTTCAAATGTTTTTAGATATGTTTTCCTTCTAAAATTGTTTAGAAAAGTTGTAGGTGACTTCACATCTTTAAAAAATAATATAGAAAAATTTGAATACTTTTACATATACTATATAATATTTAGGTGTTTTTTATATTAAACATACAAATTTTTCATTCTCTTATACAAAATAATGTAAATTTTATATTCTCTTATACAAAATAATTTATATTGTTTGACCCCAAATCTTTAATTTATAATTATTAAATATTGTCTATTCTCTTCTTTAATTTATAATTATTTTTTTCTTCCTCTTTTTAAATAGGGTCAATAGTAGTTTCCACTTCCGCCATTGAGTGACTCAAACTCGAGGTCTATTATAATATTGTTAATTTAATATTCTTCCCGTGCATCGCACGAGGTACACACTAGTATTGTCGTGAATATACTGTGCATATACCGTAGATACACTGTACATAAAAGTAGAGAAAATGTGATTTCAGTATATTTTCAGTATATCTCTCCGTCTTCCGACCTCCCATTAAGAGATGGAGAATAACAGTCGTGAACACATACTGTACATATATTGTACATATACTCCAAAATAAATCAAACAAAAAAAATCTCAAAAAAAGCTGCCATGATTTTCTGTACATATACTATACATGTACTCCCATTAAAGAAGTCGCTAAAACAACCATTCACTAAAAAAAAAGAAAAGTCTTTGTGACATATTATCAAACAACTTACATGCATTCAAACATCAAAGCACCACAAAGAGACCAAGAATGAGCAGGCCAGGTTAGGGTTTGATCCGGTTACTAGGCCAATTACATGATGTTTGTGAATTGTATTGAATTTTGATTACTTTCAGAAATCCCCAATAAATCTTGCCCAAATCCATAAATCTAAAAGCCCCCGAAATCCATAAATCTTGCCCCGAAATTCCATAAATCTTGCCCAGATCCGATTTCTTGCGCTTAAATTTGCCGTTTTTGTTCTTCTTCTTCTTGTTCGGGTCTTTCGGCGCCGGCGGCTCCGGCTTCGGGACAAGCTCCGTATGCTTTTCTCTGAACCGCTTTCTTGTCGATCTTTGTCGTTGACTCACCACAATTCTCTCTCTCTCTCT